GTGGTATTTAAAAATTGCTTTTTATATACGTAGCTTTTCTTTTTTGATTTTAGTCAAATAAAAAGGAATAGATGGCACCTTTGCCTAATTAACACTGTCATAAAAAAGAAAAGAAGTAGGGCTTTTGTGTGTTTTTATCAGTGGCTCTTCTGGAACCGCTATGGGGTATAAAGGGTTAAAGCTAATGTGGTAAAATGTGCAAATGATTATCAACAAACAATTTTAGTTCAATCGAAAGTGTTTATATATTTATATTTTTAATATTTTTCTTTTTCTGCTTTAAAAAATTAATGAAAAATATAAAAACTGAATATCGAATTATTTTTAAAAAGAAACCAAACAATCGGATATCATTTTACAAACTGAATATAATATACTGTTTCTAGGTTACAAAAATTGACTTGTAACCTTTTCATTCGAAAAGTGCCATAATTTAAAAATCTTATTTTAAGTTAACACCTATTTGTTTTCTTTTTCTTATACAAGAGACGAGAATAAAATCTTGAGCCGAAAATAAATAAGATAAAGTAAAGTAAAGTTAACTTAAATATACTTAAGTTAACTCGTGGAATTAGTCATACCGCTACGAAAGTTAGGACGTCTCCTAAATGCCGCTCACCCGTTTTAGTAGTTCTTCCTTGTTCTCAGTGTTTGTTCAGTCACCTATAGATGTTTTTGCGGAGGTCTTCCATACAGTGAGCAATTTGCAATAGACCAGCAGACATTAAGTTAATAACCACATCAAAGGCCTACAAACTCTGTTTCTAGATTTTTGGGTGTGCTGTTTCTAATGGAGTACTTTACAAAACTCAAAAATGTTTCAACCCGATTTTCCAGAAATCCTTGTTTTTCTAGAGATCACGATGGTCTCAAAAATGCTTACTTTTCGTGGCAAGAAGTCTTTCTATAGGTTTTCGAGTATGCTGAATTCAACTGTAATGGTATGGGGTACTCAGAACCTTTCAGAGTGTTTAACGTCATTGTCTACAAAGTTGGCAAAAATAGGATTTCTACCTAACGCTGGACTTTTGTTGAAAAATGATAGCACTCAGGAATCGTCGAAGGACGCACCATTCGCTGCAGCTTTTCACGCTGATTCCGAATATATCGTTACTTTGTCTAAAAGTGCTCCCGAGTAGAGAAAACTGAGAAAAACCTGAAAAATTCAACGATTTTTGGAAAACCTCCAGCTCAGTCAAGAAGCATTTATGCATCTTTACGCTAACTCAGTAGACGTGACAGATAGAGAAGAATATTTTATGAAAAGTTCATCTAAATTTGGTTAAAAGAAAGAAGCGAAACCCACTACTGAAGACGTCTTTTCGGAAAAATCTTAGCTTAGAAGGAATGAGTATTTTTTTCCTTTGGGAAATAGTTAGAACAAAAGCCTTTTTTAATGACCGGCAGAACAAGAGCTCTGCTTTTAGACTATGCCTGGTTCATTACTCAACTATTTCTCTGTTCGACGAAAAATGATATTTTTCTCTGAGGTGGCTTAAACGTGACCATTTTTTGGTGCTAGGATTCTTCGAATACTTTTAAGTATTCGAAGATCAAAAAGTTGGCCATTAGCCAAAGTATATTGAACACTATTCAAATCTCGAAAAGCTCACTTTCATTTTTTTCACCAAATGTCTGCTTGATTGCCTACTGTACTCCATACGTATGAGAATCTTCGTGCCAGAAAAATCTGACTATCCTAGTTTGGTAGCCCATGTTGATTTGTGTAGAAGTATGTCTATCTTCAACTGTGCAAAAATGTTTACCGATCTTGACCAAAAATTGGTCAGAAAGTCGAGTTTTATGGTAAATTGGGTCTAGGAAACATTAGTTTGTAATTTAACAAAACATTCTTAAAAAAGTCTGAATAAACCATTTGATAGAGCTTGAAAACTTGTTTATATGACGTATGTGTCACGAGTACAACTGTAAAGATATTGTGGGGGGAAATTTTAGAAAGTGAGTCTAAAATGCTCTTTCAGTGTATTTTAATAATTGCTATAAAACGATCAGAAATTAAGATAATATCAACTTATTTATATTCAAAATGTAGCCCGATTGATGCCCTATCAAGTGAGACCAAGCTGCTGGCGACAAACAATGATCGCATATACATGTGTAGAGAGAGAGGGAGAGAGAGAGTTTCTAAGTGTTTGTTCATTGATTAACTTCATATACTGGCAATCTTCATATTGAAAATATCTTTCTTCATTTTCTTTAATCCTTTCTTTGTACCTGCTTGGTATGCTGCCGCGGCTTTTTTTTCCGCATTTTCGAAAGCAGTATTATCCGATCTACAATCACGAAAAGCACAGCCAATGGCGGTCACTAATCCCGTAACAGCACTCAACAGCCAGAAATGTGCGCCGGCGCGCCGGTTCACCGATTCGCCGCCGCCGCTGAAGGCGGAAGAAATTTTCAAAGCCACGCGCCGCCGCCATGCGGTCAAACTTTTGTCGTCGCCGAGGGCGGAAATTTTTCTTAAATCGGATACTTTTGGTCGTTGTTTTGGAGGCACTACCCAGCGGTCCAAAGAGTTCGTTCTAAGCTTAATCGGTAAAGAATTGACTTCTCTACAAAACCCGCTATCTGAATCTCTGATAGCATTTTTTTATTTGAATATCATTCAAAATATTAAAGGGTGCTGAGTTGTCAAACTGCCACGTGCTTTTTTGAGATTTCCAGCCCATTGTCTGGTATTTAATAGCTTATTTTTCTAAGTAGGAAGATAGAGAACTTTTTGCTCTACCGATATCACTAGTTTACAGCTACATACAATGTTTCCGCTATGTCTATTAGTCCTATAATTAGTTATGAACCAGCTTTTCAACGTTTTCAAATTAAGGCAAGTTTTTTAAGTAAAATAAAGTCTGTGAAAAATTAGGTTTTTTTAGATTTATCAGTTTTTTGCGCAGAGAAGTTTTCAGTTTTTTGCAAAATTTCAAGACATATATGAGAAGATGTAGAATTTCCGGTAAATCTTCTGATCATTTCAAAGTTCTTATGGAATTTGTTTTTGAAACAAGGCAAATATTTTTCTATTTTCAGTGTGTCGCAATTCGACAACCCAGCATCCTTCAATATTCTGAATGGTGCTCAAACGAGAAAAATGCTATCACAGATTCAGTTAGCAGGTTTTGTAGAGAATTCAATTCTCTAGCGATTAAGCTTAGCAGCAGCAAATAGGATATTCTATGTATTTCATATTGCAATGTGAAAAGAATACATTGTTTCTTTGTTTATTTGCAGCACAGGGTGTGCCATTTACTTTGGTTTTACCTAAAGCGTATGGCGCAGGGTTCTCTTACTATTTTTGTCAGTACGTTTTTAGCTTACGTTAGGCATTCAGTGTGCAGCGCTTTTTTATCTTTTCGTATACAACAACTTACAGATGAAGATCGTGCCAGAAATGAAAGAGAACATTGTTTTACTTAAAATTGGGGATTGGGGATAACCAATTATTACACGCCGCCGCCGAAGGTGGAGAAAATTTTCAAAGTCTCGCGTCGTCGCCGCCGATGTAGCGGGTTTTGTAGAGAAGTCAATTCTTCACCGATTAAGCTTAGAACGAACTCTTTGGACCGCTGGGTAGTGCCTCCGATACAACGGGATGACATCCCACGTTCTGGAATCCCGTGCAGCATCTGCTCAAACTTTGAAAAATGAGGAAAATCGCTTTTAAGAGCTGCTTTTCTTTCATTAAATATTTTCTAATCGCAACGCGAATCCCTTCATCGGATAGAACTTGAAAAGACGCATCGAATGCATATTTTGTGATTTTATGGGGGGGGGAAATGGTTTACAAGAAAGACCTACTTTTCGGAAAAAACGACCGTTTTAAATATTTTCCTGAGAACGTGCTTAACGTTTTGTGTCGTTTTATCCGCTAGTGATTTTGTAGCTCTGCGCATATAGAAGCTAATCTGGCGGTACCAACTTATGAAAGTGTTTCACTAAAAAATGGTGAAAATGCCTACAAAAGGACTATTCTGCTGGGAAATGGGATTTCCACAGGTCTAGAAGACCACCATGCTGTTGTTTTAAAATTTTTTAAACGTGATATTTGTCATCAGGAGCCCGAGTTCTATCAGTTCTGTTACTCTCGAACAATTCGGACAAAGTCGATGTAAACTCTGGTACACTTTCAAAAGAATCACCCACGAATAAGATCAATTAGTCTTAAGCTATTAAAACAGACTTGTTTTTTAAACTTACTCAAAAAGATATGTGTTTCCTGAATGTGTTTAAATATCTTTCGATTGTAAAGAAAAGTTAGACAGGCTTTATAAAACCATACAATTGACTATATTTCTGAAAATATGTATTTAACAAATACTTTACGCATCTACAAGTCGATCTATTCAGAAAAAACTGTTCAAATGCATTGTTTTAAAACGCAGTTTAAATTTCTTTTACTTTCGTGAAGAAAATTAAGCACATTTGTGAATATTTAAACGCATCTTGGATTCTACTTGCATTTCACGAAATATTATTTTCAAAACACATATTTGAAGAGATTTTAAAATCAACACAATCGATTAGTTTAGAAGTGCAAAATGCATTAAAATGCCTTTCATATTCCTAATCTCTTTAAATTCATTTTTAAAATAAATCCATCTAGACATTTTGTATTCTAAAATTTGTCTAAACGGATTTAGTACTAAAGAGATTTGATTACAGGGTGCCACTAAATAAACGGAACACCTACATCTATCTTGTTTTAGACGCTTTTTCTCTACAAATTTTTATTCAAAACCTAGCAAAACAACAGAAACAACAATAAATAAAAAGATTTATTCAAAATGGCCTCCATCTGCTTCTACACATGCCTTCAATCGCTTCGGGAAGTCATCCACAACCTTCTTCAACGTTTCAACACTGATTTCATCCCAGGCCTTGATCAATGCGCGCTTCAACGATTCGACAGTCGGGTGGGGCTTCGCGCATGCTTTTTCTTCCAAAATGCTCCAAATTGAGTAATCCAACGGGTTCAAGTCCGGAGAACTTGGTGGCCATTCGCCGATGGGATTCCGCCAATGAGGGTCGACTTTGATGAAATCCAGTTGTCGCGGATGAAGTCTTGAACCACGTATGCCTTGTGCCCGGGCGCGCCGTCTTGCTGGAAGCACCACCAACCGTCGCCGAAATGCTGCTCTGCCCACGGGAAACAATGCTCTTCAAGCATGTCCATGTACGCGCGTCCGTTGATCTTCACCCCTTGGTCAACAAACACCAATGGAGTCTTTCCCGTGGCGCAGACTCTAGCCCACACCATGACCGACGCTGCTTTCTGAACCCGCTCACCAGCCCTCTGATCCTTGTCCGGTGGGCCTTTCGAATAAATCCTGTCGTTCTGGGGGTTAAAGGCTTTTTGGATGTCGAAGAGCTTTTCGTCCGTGAAAAGAGTCTTCCTGTGTCGACCCCTTGACAAGCGTTTCAAAAGAGCACCAGACCGAGTTTTTCTCTTCTCTTTCGTGGTTGCCGTCAACTTCTGGCGTTTCTGATACTTGTAGGGCGTCAGGCCAAGATCTTGGCGAAGAATTTGCCATGCTTGCATCTTGCTGACTCCGAGCTTCTTGGCAAGTTTTCTGGATGAGTTTGCTTTGGTCGTGGGGTTTCGCTGGATCATTCCCTTCGCGCGCTGCATATTCCTCTTGCTTCTCGCAGTCTTCTTACGGCCCCTACCCGGTCGGTCGTTTCATATTTATACTAAAAAATAAAAATATTGTCAAATTTGTTGAGAAAAAGCGTTTAAAACAAGATAGATGTAGGTGTTCCGTTTATTTAGTGGCAGGGTGTAGATTTTAAAACATAAAATATTTAAATACATCTCTAAAAAATTTATGTAAATAGGCTGCTTTTAAAAATAAATATAAATGTCCCCAAATGCCTTGCAAATCTCAAATCTTTTTAAATACATCACGAAAGCAAACAAAACGCACATTTCTTTGAAAAGTGTCGTAAAGGGTAGTAGGTCCAAGCACTTTAAACGTTTGAGAAAGCACTGTATGTAAAAGCGGCGTTTAAGGAAAAAATAGCATTTTAAGGAAAATCTTTGATTATAGCTGTTATACTATCTATGTTGAAAAGAAAAATGCAATTGTTCCAGAAAAAACACGGCCACTAATTTATCATTCCAGGCTTAAAAGACAAGAAATATATAACTTTTTCTTAAAAGAAAAAAACAAATTTTTCTGGAAGGAGAGTTTCTAGTTTACGCTGGGAAAATAGAATAGATTCTGCACCGCTGCTCTCTCTTTGCAAGTATAATGCCTATTTATTGATAACTGACAGACTTTTTATCTGCTATATATGCATGATGAGTAATAAGTTGTTTAACATTCACATCTGGTTTCATAATTAATTTTGGATGATTGTGATATGTTAACCTAACTAAATATTCAAATTCTGTTTTATCTGTATTGTATGTTGAATGCATATTAATCAGACTTTGTACTATAATTTTCATCATTGCTGTTGTCATCTAAATGAAAACAAAATTGCAGAACAGAATTCTCACGAGGGAAGTCCACCAGCTTGAAAATCGTTTGTGGGCCAAAATCCAGTGGGTCATAGATTACCGACGGCGCTGAATCCAAATATCACCATGAGACTCGCTGCTAGGCCTGGCATGACCTGGTTTTCCACAATACCAGGTTTCCAAAAACTCTAGAAAATCTCCAAAACTTTTCTTAATAGGTCGTGTTTGTAGCGCGCGAAATTCTGATTAAAATGAGACATCTCCCAGCTCTACACGACCTTTCTTTGCAAAGTTATAGAATTTGACCAATTTATACTCTGGAACTAGCGAATATGATTGGTTAGATCGCAAAAACTTAGGGCTTTTCACGTTTAACCATATCGCACTTGCGTTTTTTCCGATTTCACCCAATGAAAACAGGAGTTATAGTAATGCAGTAATGCAAAGCTTCCCCTCTAGAGAGCGCCAAGCATCAGATACTTCATCTACGCAGCTTTTCGTTCAAAGACAAGTTAGAACGCCACAGAAACCCTGATTTTTTCTGAAGATCTCCAATAACTCTGACACCCATCTCAATCGATTCTTCATAGTTGACTACTTATTAAGAAAAGTTTCGGAGATTTTCTAGAGTTTCTGGAAAACCAGGTTATGAAAGGCCTAGCAGCGAGTCTCATGGTGATATTCAGATTTAGGACCGTCGATAACCTATGACCCACTGGCTTTTGGCCCGCAAACGATTTTTAAGTTGCTGGACTTTCCTAGTCAGTCATCACGTTGATAGAAGCAAAAAGGCATTAAGCCTCAACCAAAGCAAATATCTGTTTGACACATTGACATCTTTGTGATTTTAGAAAACGAAGCAAAGACTGAATAAAACTCCATCCACTGTAATTATTCAAGGTCTTCGCCAAAATTTTACCATTAGTTTTTTCAAATATTGTATTAAATGTCAGAAATTATCTTGGTATATGAGAATGTCGAATATTTATAAGTTTTTCACTCAAACGTCCACGAAATAATGTCTACAAGAAAACAAACATCCTGTTAAATAATTCTTTTAGCTAGAAGGAGGGACACGAGCTTACCATTTCCTTATTGAATTTAAAATCGCATAAATCAAATCTATTTTGTAATGTACTTTCGATTCTTTGATAATGATGTTTGTTAGACACATTATACTTGAGATAAAAACCAACAGAATAATTGACTAGACGAGACATGCACGTTGACAAATTTTCTATGATAGAAAACAAAAGAAAGTAATAAAATCGATTCTCACTAGATATTTATTTCGATCGGGAAGGTGGAGCAGGCGAATTGATTCTCATATTGTTCACAATCAAAGCACTCTGATCAAGAAGAACAAAAATCCGTTACTGTCCCTAACTGATGCAGTTTCTCGAAGTGATAAAGACTGTAGAAAAGCAGCACAAGCTGTGCTGGTACGCACTAAAATATGAAGCAAACCTTTTAAAACACAAATCAAGAAGGTTTTTTAATTTATTAAACAACGCTTAAAAAACTTCATACCTCAACTTATGAAGTTTCAATTGCCTTTCAACATTTAAAAAATTATCAACAAACTAATAATTAAACAATTAAGCAATATTATGCATTTTATTACTTTCTTTTGTTTTCTTTCTTCTTATTCCGCTAGTTAATAGTTTTTATGGTACTGTTGAAGATGCTGGTAAACCTCGAATAGTTAAGCTGTTGAGTTTGATAAAAGAAAATTGTATACATAAATTTAAGTAAGAATTATTCAATTTAACTGTTTAAAGCTTGGGCCATATTCGTATATATTGAAAGTTGACAATATCAATAAGATATCAATAAGATGCCGCACTTCACCCCATGCAATAAATAAATTAGAGAAATAAAATTTAATGAAAAACTTCTGTTAACAGATATGTAGCAATTCAGGAGGTATTCATATGGAACAATTCAGAATGTTAAAGAGTCAAAAGCAACCTGGTAGTATAACGAATCGAATGTGTATACTGAGTAAATGAAATATTTCGCTATCAAACCGTCCTAGTTTTTCTATAACGTAAAAACAAATAGCTTAAGTGAATACTTACACAGAAAACCGTTGCCGATCACTAGCCTGATATCGGAGCATAATAAGAAATATAGTTTCATGCAACGAACAGTTCACAAATGCTAAACAACCAAACATACTCCTGGCTATACTTAGGTTTTTAGAGGAGTCCCAGAAAACCAGTTAAAAAAAACTGATTTCTAGTTTGGTCTTTGGAGTGTGATTATTTGTAGAACAAACAATAAACTTATAATTAATCAGATTGCCAAGCAGATTGCTAGAATTTTAACGGATACTCGGTTTAAACGCGTTTATTAGTAGACCAATCGCCAAACGGCATTGTAGGTTCGCGATTCTCATAAGAGAAAGATGTATCAAGATAAAAACCATCAACGATAAAAAACGTGAAAGAAAAAAGCATGAATAAAACAAAAGGAGATTTAAAATGTAGCAGAGTAAGTGTTTGTAAATAGGAAAAACATAAAATGAAAGATGGAGGACGGATAACGGATACTTATTGGGTACATTTTTTGGATGCCATATTAGAATAAACATTCTCAGTCTAAACTGCTCGCAAAAATTATGCTTCGACCGTTGACATTTCTCGAAATTTCAAACGCGTTTTTTAATGGAACGGAAAAGTTGAATTTTTTTTAAAAAAGTATAGAGTAGCAAAAGTAAATGTCGTACCGACTTTTGATAAAAACGTTTTCAAAAAATCTAAGTAGATGATTAGTCTCCATTTTGTTAGGGCTTTCAAATGAGATATATATGAGCTCAGTCGGGGAACCATCAGGTACCGCCATAATGGGGAGAAGGTCGGTTTTCTCATGGAACCTCTCTTAAGTACTGTGGAACGCAGAAGGGTAAAAACAAGCGGCGACAAAGATTTAATAACACCGACGATACGAAAAGAACTACTTTTGAAATAGTGATGAGGTATTTTCACGTGAAAAAATCTTTTATTCAGAATGCAATGGTTTGTTCCTCATCGATTAGAGAGATAAATTTTCTGTTTCTACATCAAAACTATGGCTGAAACTCGTCTTTCTTTTATAATTGAAAATTGAAATTGTAATTTGATTCTGTTTTCAAAACATCAAAAATTAATAACTTGATTCCTTTATTCAAAAAGAAGCTTGATAAGTTTACTTAGGATTTGATAATATTCTATTTCGTATATAAGACTTGATGTAAGTTACTGAAAAAACTAAAATACAGGAGTAATAAGGAAAGGACAGACCGCTACAATGAATATAATATTTGCAGTTACAGTTGTTGTTGTCGCACTGGTCAATGTAGGTGAGTCATTTGATATTTCTTCTTTTTAGAAGCGACCGCAATAGTTCTATATATTTTCAGCTCTCGGCTGTAAAATGTCGCATGGAAATGCGTTGAATGAAATAAAATCTGTGGGTATTGGAATACAGTCTAGTGGTGGTTGTAGTGATCGTAACAACAAAAAATGTACATCGTTGGATCAGATCAATTGTAATGCAATAAGATGTTTGAAAACACTCAAAACGTCATCTGGATGTGGAATAACAGTAACAGGTGGAACGGTACGCCTTTTAAAGTTAGTTTTAATTTTTTAAAAATAAATATTGACTTTTTTATAGGAAATTGGTCACGCTGCCGGTGCTCAGTCCCATTACAATGGATACAAGATTGATATTTCATTGAATGCTTGTGTTGATGGATACATTAAAAAAAGTTTTCCATTTATTGGTAATCGTGGCGATGGTGCTGCTCAATACAAGGCTTCAAGTGGAAATGTATATGCAAAGGAAGGAAATCATTGGGACATTACATCTCTTCGGTCGTTTATTGCGCAGTACGGGATGTCGAAAGGACTATGTCATTGATAGTTTTGAGTTCATGATAAAATGTAATATATGAACAATACCCATTTACTGCTAATTGTTAAAAGTTTGTGAAGGTTGAAAACCTTTTGTTTGAAAAACTTTTTCGTGTAAAACAGTAAATAAAGACAATGCAACTTTAAAGTTTGTGTGATATGTATAACACGGTAACTCTTGTAATTTTTTGTTGGCATCCCATGAAGAAATTTTAAACCTCCGCAGGTATTTTTAATCTATTAAAAAGGAGGGGGCCCGCTTTTCCACTGCATTTGGCCCACTGCTTTTTCGACTTCGTTATGATCACATATTGTAGAGAAAACGATTTTACACATTTTGAACTGCATATCAACCATTATAACATTATCGA